TAAGTTTTAGTTTGCCATGATTTTGGTTGGGCAAAAATTGGTAGCCAACTAATCAGGCCCTATATAGTTCAAAGGAAAACAGAGTGTTTAGCCCCTTCGAAATCACTTGATTATTCTTTAGCTTTCCTATACTCGCAAAAAAATCTTTAGCTTCCCCCTGACACATGTATTCCTGGTTATAAATTACAGGACCGTTTAGTTTTGTCATACACAAAGGTTCTTTAATTTTTGACAAATTTTATAAAAGTTACACCAACATTTATTAATTTTTTTACAAAATATATGTTTTTGACAGTGCATTTATCTAAATTTGTAGATGTTAATATGTTTTTCTTAAAACTTACACCCTCGGTCCCTATATATAAGTCGTTTTGGCTCTTAACCATGTGTAGCAATAATTATCTGAACCTGGACATACTCTTTGTGCAGAAGCATTGAAGATTAAGTGAATCTAGATATTTACCTTGCTCCTAGAACGACACACGTAGGGGAACATAGGGAATAGTTAAAGTGAATTTTAATATATAGTTTGGAACAAAGAAAAAAAACATGGCGTCTACTAATTTAGCTTTCGGTAATGCTAAATTTACGTCAACGGCGGAGCAATTCATAATGTACGAAATAGGGGATGAGTCAGCTTTTTTCTGAAACTGGGCTCAAGGGCCTCTTACAGCCTGTTCGTTTGGCTGTGGCTTATCATAAACGATCGTAAATTTCCAGCCAGAACAGTATTTTTCTCTCACATAAACCAACCAGCAGTACTTCTTCACGAACCAGAAACGAAACAAACCAGCCAACCGAAATTGATTGAAGGCTCAACAGAAGTGTGAGCCACCAAAATTTGTACAAAGACAGGGACCGGACACTTCCAGACCTCCGACGTCTCTATACTCCAACTCAAGACTAAACTAGCTATCTGGTACGTAGATGAGTTACAGACTCTGGTGTTCAAAAAAAAAGTTACAGACTCTGAAAATATGAAAACAGTCAAATGTAGAAAATTTCCCCGAATAAGTGAACGAATATCCTGAAACAGGTCCATGGCCTTATTTAGTTTCTCCCCTAAAGTTTAGTCCCTATCTTATCGTATATTTGACACATGTATGGAGTATTAAATATATACTTAAAAAATAACTAATTGCACAGATTGCGACTACTTTGCGAGACAAATTTTTAAGCCTAATTAGTCCATGATATAAAAATGTGGTGATACAGTAAATCTACAGTACACATGTGCTAATGATTGATTAATTATGTTTGGTAGATTCATCTCGCGGAATCCTGAGGACTTCTATAATTTGTTTTATTATTACTATCCAAACACTCTCATATGACACTCTCATATGCCTAAACTTACCCTTGAATTTAATCACCTAAACTCTAAGAATCCCGCGCGCCACCACTGCTTTGATTGCCCTCCCTCCAACCAGAGGCGGATATGGGCCTTGGGCCACTAGGGCCGTGGCCCTAGGCGTGGCCCAAAATATACACCTTCTATAATGTATGGAAATTTCTGGGCCAACTGGAAAGCGTTGGGCTAAATCCTCTACTCCAATCGGCCCAGTCACAGTAAGAGAGAGCAGGATGCCTCCACCCTCGCGACTCCAGTCGGCATGATTCCACGAGCGCCGCCATCTCTGAGTCACGGGTTGCGGCTCCCGTCCCCGTCGTGTCCGCCGAATCGCAACTCCTCTCCCTCTCCTGCAGTCTGTGCTGCACTAGTTCCCTATTCCGGCTAATCCCTGACCGCCATCGCCGCCGTCCGCCGCTAGGGGCTGTCTGCGCTCCGTGTTGGGTGAGTGGACTTCCTAGACATAGCTGCGCTGGCTAGCGAGCACCGAGCAGACGAGCGGCTAGCTGGCTACCTGCATCTCGCCTTGGCCGCGTCACGGTATGAGGCAGCACCGTAGCAGAGCAGGGCCACAGCCCACATAATGCGACAAGACACCTGAGCACCTGAGCCATGGAGGCTTGGAACTTGGTAAATTTCCCCTTCTTCAATCAAGTTCTATTTTAATGTTATTTTAAATGTTGAACTCTTTCTAATCTAAAAATTCAATGAATGATTAATTGATTAGAGCAATATTTGTATATTTATTATTATGAATTAGATTAGTTATATCTATATTGGTATTTTGATCTCATGCAGATGGTATTTTAACTCAGTGCGATTGGTATTTTGACTCGGTGTGGGCGGTATGCATGCTTTAATAATTGATAGTGGCCCTAGGCGTGAAACTAGACGAGCTCCGCCACTGCCTTCAACAGGCAATTGTCTCTTGCCATAAGAGCATCGTGCACATCTATCAGCTTGCTGTTAACTTCTGGTTATTCAAGAATGCACTAGAGCTAATCAGCAAGTCAAACTAGTCGGCTACCTGAGCAGTGAGCTGTTGGAGACTCGGATCAATCGGTGACAAAGGTTAGTCAGACCAGTGGCATGAGTCGGTCGGCGATAGGCTCAACAGTCAGATATCGATCGGCGATGGACTCGGACCAAGTTGGGCAGAATCATCCAAGCCCAGTGACTATAAATACTTGGATATTTTTTAGTGTTAATAACAAGGTGACGATCCCAGTATATTCTAGAAGACGAGAGTTGGATACTGAAAATTCTCAGACAGATGTGACCTGTCACAAGTTTTAAATATTTTGCTTCGCTTCACGCGGATTGCGCCAAAAGTCTTGTGGACTTGTGACGTCTCAGGGGCCGAGATAGCTACCGTTACCTGTTTTGTCGTTCAAATGTTGGGCTGCACAAGTTGGACGGCGACTTGGGGTCTGTTTAATTGCTTCGTGGTGAGAATTAATTTGTCTTGCCCAGGAAACAGATGTAGAGCAACTTCAAGAAACATTGTATCCCACCCAGGTATCATCAAAACTGAGAAAAAAGATGCTCCAACAGACACGGTAACAGCTTCGGTAAAATAGCGAGCTGGCTATCCTGTTCATTTCACATGCCCTCGTGCCCTCCTTTTTCCCTCCACCTATACCTCCGCTCCGTTGACAGGGACACAATTAAATTTTGCTGCACCGTTCATCATTCATGTGCCCAATCAAAAGCAATCAAGTGCGGCACAGGTGATCGCTCCTTGCTCGTATCATCCACGTCTAGACATCTGGTGATGAAAAACACAACACAAATGACTTGTCGTGTTGCTTTCAGGCCCGACACACAATTTGAAGCCTAAAAAAAGTGACAGATCCAACCAAAATTGATTGAATTAGTGATGACGTGGTGACTTTAAAAATAATAAAGGGTTTGATTTAGAGAGTTTGTTGCGGATCGTATCTATTTTAAGAGTCTATATTATTTTAGAGAGCTAGTTTAGAGAGCTAAATTTCTATTAGCTCTTGGAGTTGCTCTAAGCGGTCCATTTTATTCTACATGTGGCCTCTGTTTCCATGGCCAGGTACACAAGCAAACAGGACCTTGCAACATGATCAACGTTGACGCGGCACGAAATTCACCTCTAAAACTCTAGAGAAAAAGTCGATGAAGGCGGATAAAAAATTGAAGTTACAAGAGATACTCATTCAAAGACAAAAAAAAGTCCATGAATGAGTGTAAAATTGAAAAAAAACACTAGATTTCAAATCTTTTGTCAAGTTTTCATAAATTTTAAACTTTTTGTTAAATATTCATCAAACCCTCTTAAACTTTCTCTTAAATCTTCACTTTCCCAATAAAAAACTTCATTCTTTATTTAATTTGAAAAATTCAGTGAAGTTAGATTATATACTACTCTCTATTTTTTAAATTGTAAATCATTTTAGTTTTGTCCTAAATTAAATTGTCTAACTTGACCAAATTTATAATAATATATATTAGCATCTACATCATCGAATAAAATACACTATCAAAATATATTTCATGGTGTATATATCCAATAAATCCTGTATGATGTTGTAGATGTTTATATTTTTTTTCATAAATATGGTAAAAATAGAGAAGTTTTATTTAGAACAAAGCTAAAACAACTCGCAATTTTGAAGGAAGTAGCTTTATTCAGCCGTATAATACTTTATGATAAAAATAATGAACGCTACCTCAATTATCTTCTAAGGCTAAAACTCATCTTAGGCCTCAATTAGTTGACATGGTTTTTTTTAGATAATGAATATTTTTTTCAGCTTAGCATCAAAGATCAAAGATTAGGGATTGATCAGATATAACGTTTTTGTGCTTTGTACTCCAGATATGAGAAAGAAATAAAGAGTTTGCTCTTTCTTATTTTTGTCTTCATATTGTGCTCTATATGTGTGTGCGCATGTGCTGATTGATAAAACGATTTCTCAACACATGCATTCTTAAATTTTGGTTAATAGTTGCATATATTTTTTTTAAATAAACTATAACCTTAGGTCAGTCTTAGTGAAGAGTTTCGCGATGTCGTTTCCAAAATGTTATGTCATATAGAATAAAATAAAACAAGGATGAAACAACCACTTTCAATGAAAAGTTTCGTTTTATGATTTCTTAGACATTTAATTTCATGATTTACAGAGAGTTGGTACCCGTGTAAGAGATTTTCATCACTTTTTCTCTTTGTTATTAAAAATATTGCCACATCATTAAAAATACTTATGTGGTATCTTATTAAATACAAATGAATTCTGATGAAATTCCGCCGAGACTGAAAACTACTAATAATTGTGTTTAGCTAATAATAATAAACAATAACTAGTTTGTACGTGCGAAACTAGTTTAGTTTCCCTTGTTTGTGCGTGCGAGAAAGCGCGGGAAACTAATTCGGTGCGCGCGAAACAAATCGATGTTCGATCCCCATTTCTTCCTCCCCGCCACTTCGCGCTTGTGGCACCCACACACCGCTATACTTGGCAGTGACTAGAAAGTCTTCGTCTCCTTCAACACCCCCCATTTCTTCCTCCCCGCCATTTCGCCGCTTCTCCCCAGTCCTTCGAAATCCCAATCCAATCCTTCCTGGAAGTCAGAAACCAATAGAAAACAGTTGGCTTGTGATTGTTTGCGCAAACTGATGGGGATCCCCAACCTTCTCCGCTTCCTGAAGCCGTTCATCGAGCCTGTGCACATCAAGAAGTACGCCGGCAAACGGGTAAATAGATCCCCATTTCGTTTTTCACCCTGCAGTTCCCCTTACCTTTTCATCTTTCTTGATTTCTTGTCACTTTGTGTTGTGTCGGCAGGTCGGCATCGATGCGTACTCCTGGCTTCACAAAGGAGGTTCGATTCCATTGTAGTGCCGCAATGTATTGAGTATGATTGATAGGGATTCCTGGGCAGATTTCTTAACATTTTTTTCTTCTGTTCTGTTTATGGCATTGCAGCCTATTCTTGCAGTATGGAGTTATGTATGGACCCTAAAAGCGCCGCAGCCAGGCGATACATCAGCTACTTCATGCACCACATCAACCTCCTGCGGCATTACAAGGTTATTCCCGTCGTCGTCTTTGACGGGGGCAGCATGCCTTGCAAGGCGGCCACTGATAACGAGCGGCAGAGGTACGGTGATTGATGACATTTGTACTGAAATCACAGTTTAAAGCTTCGTTTGTGTTTGTAGATCTGTGATTTGAATCATTATTTATGTTCCATGCCCACGATTGGTACTGATTTGTCATGATTTTGGGATTATTTAATTTTTTTAGCATACATAAGGCATTTCTATTTGTCAGTATGTATGAGGTATTGGATTTTCACTCTTGTTTTAAGGCCATACTGAAGCTAATATTTCTTCACTACCAATTATTGCTATGCATATGGTCATAGTTCATCAGCAATTGGATAGTTGTACAAGATTGCACTGCTGTTAGAATTTTTTGGCAGTTTCTTAAGATGCAGCGATAACAAGGATAATATGCAATTCGTAATACCTAAGCTTTAAGCACCTACATTAAAGTCTTATGGTTATTTTCATTCAGGAAGAGGGAACTCAGTTTAAACATGGCGAAAGAAAAGCTTGAGCAAGGAAATACAGCTGCTGCCATTGACTTTTTCCGGGTATCCATCTACTTTTCTTTCTTGCAGTTTTTCCCACAGCAGAAAATCTCTGCAATCTTTTCACTTATTAAGATGTTTGCTGTCATTTTGATAAAGACATACATTAGGTGCTAAAAAGTTGTTCCTACATTCACTTCTAATTTTTATTTGGGCATTGCCATGCACCATGCTCTCTAATAACACGCCTGGTTTTCTCGAATTCTCGATTCAGTTTGTTTGTTAATCAAATTCAGAGGTAAAATCTCAAATCCTCTTTGGTCTTTGCTTACCCAACTTTAAGATCCTGGGTTCGCCACTGCCTGTAACTGGGAACTGCATACAAACCTTTAATACTGAAATACAGAACTGTGTCCATGGTTGGCTGATATCATATTGTGTTACATCATTACCTGAGCAAGAACCTGCAGTAGTTTCAGATGTTGATTTCTGGATTGTACTGACAGAAGGGAGCAACAGAACCTGCAAACTGGATCTCATATACAGATTTTGCAGAGGATTCTCCACGTGTGTTCCACTTCCAATTCAAGACTTTTTATCACCTCGATGTGACGCTCTTGAAAATTAATAAAATCTTCCTTTAAAAAAAAAACTATTTTTGTACTATATGGATGTGGCGCCAAAAATTTGTCACTTGATTTTCTATTATTCGAAATAATTATTGTTTGATATTTCCTAACTAAAGTGTAATTCTTGCGATGCTGCTAGAATCTCATGGCTTGACGGTTTTCTTTGGTCTCATGATATAGAGTTAGTACTAACTTAGTAGGGCACTTGGCAAGCAACATGCAAGTCGTAGTCCGAATAAAGAGGATTGCTGCAATCCTTGATTATGATGAGTAGAAGGATGTGAATATGACTATCTGTGACACTGATCTATGTTCATTTGCAGAAAGCTGTGCACATTACTCCATTGATGGCTTATCGTCTAGTTCAGGTACTTCATTGAAAGTAATTCCATATAGGCATTTTTCTACCTTGTATAGCAAAATCTAATGTTTATTCTCCAGATTTTATGGTCAGAAAATGTAGAATTTGTGGTTGCTCCATATGAAGCTGATGCCCAGTTGGCATATCTAACTACTATTGATGCTGATCAAGGGGCCATATCTGCCGTAGTTACAGAAGATAGCGACTTGATAGCCTATTGTTGCCCAGCTGTGAGATAATCACTTTCTCTTCACATCCTCTTCATTTTCTTTTTATTTAATATGTAACAGATATCAAATTTTAGATTATATTTAAAATGGATCGGTTTGGGAATGGTGAAGAATTCACAATGGAGAGAACTCTGAAGACAGAGAAAGATGGTCTTTCCTTCCAGGATTTTGATAAAAAACTTTTTACAGGTAAAGTCATGCTCATGGTTATATCTTGTAGACTTGAACTAAGCATGGACTTGAATGTTTTCAATGTTTTCTACTTCTGTTAAAGATGCATTTCTTCTCACGGTTTGGCATGTCATTATGTCAAAGGTGTCGGCATTCTTTCACCACAGGTTTATCGATGTGTTACACTACACTATTGTTAGTTCTGTTACTGAGTGATATCAACTTGTTTTGCTAGATAAGTTGTTGCATCTTTTGTTGTATTGTTTTTTCTGTGCAGTTTGGCTGGCCATTTTCAATATCTTTTCAGTTTCCCCCCTACAGGATCTATGCTACCAAAATACTAGTATTTGCTTTATGTGTATCACGAAAATTCTATTGCTAGAAAAGAATTCTTAATCTATTATCATTACCCAAATTGCAATATAATTGAACGCAAATGGCAGGAGCTCTTCCTATCAATTAAGAGGGGGAGTTTTATATACAAGGAAAGAGAGCCAAACAAGCATGCTCGAACCGGCAAGAGCTGGTTCTGCCACCTTTGTCGTAGATCCTCGCCGTGCTCCTGCGCACATGCGAGGGCCTCCACGTGAGGGTCCTGAGGGGTGTGAGTCTGTAGAGACTCCGCTACCACCGGCGGCTGTCCTGGAGCGTCCGCCATAGCGCACTCCTAGGACAGAGGGTGGCTAGGTGCCACAACATCGCCGATGCTAGAGCGTCACTCTCAACCTCATCATCCATGAGGTCATGGAAAGAGGCGGGAGCGTAGCCAGCCATTCCCACAAACTCGGACATGAGAGGGGGTGGTGTCAACATCTTTCGGAGCCCCCATGCGTACGCGTCCGTGGGGGACGCGAGGCCGTAGGGGAACTGGCCATATGGCGGTCGCGGTGGGGACAACGGGGTCCCTCCTGAGAGTCGACGGAAGATTTTAAACAGCGAGTAAAGAACAATATGTATGTTACTCACAGCGGGGTTTGAGCCTAGCATAGGCTCAGAGCGAAGCGTAGGTGTCTCGTTGTTCAGGTCGCTGGGTGTCTCGGGCTGACGAAGGGCGCTCCTCCTCCAACGGGTGCTGGGCCAAGTGCCTCCTCATGGAGGTGAAGCACGTCGGGCCGGTTAGTGGCGAAGTCCAGGCTTCCAAAGAGGAAGGTCTAGGATGGCTCGAAGACGGGAGGCATCCACATCCCAATAGGTGGGAGTGCGGGAAACTCCAGCAAGCCGAAGCGAGTTGTATCATTTGAGCCCACCATGCCAAAGATGATGGAAAGGTGGGCCATCCGATGACCAAAAGCATGAACGTATGGCATCCTCCCCACGGATGGTGCTGCCAGCTGTCGGTGCGAAAAGTGACCAACTAGTAAATATTTGTCGTTTTGCCGTACGTTGTGATCGGCTATGGCCTAGCACTCAATGACATAGGGTTTATACTGGTTTAGGCAACGTGCCCTACGTCTATTTTGAGTCGGTCGGTGACTTTATTCCTGAGCCTAGGTGCTCAAAGTTTGCTGTGGGGTTACAAACGAGTGGGAATAAGATAGGGGTATTAGAGGTTTGGTCGGACTCTGGACCGAAGGGCTAAGAGTGACGGGATCTCCTACGTGCGCTAAGTATTGGAACATATGCTCTGTGTAGCTTTATAATGTCTAAAGCTAGCAGAGAGTGTGTCGGAATGATCCATTGGTCATTGATCGAATCGTCTTTCTTTTGGGAGAGGGCGCATCCCTTTTTATAGATGAAGGGGATGGCCTTACAAGTGAGAGAGAGAGGGAGTGTGTGCTACCTAGTCTTGTTGTCCATGCCGTTGGGTGCGAGACGGTTTGTCGGCGCGTATAATACTGTTGATGCCCTGATGCATGTGGTTGCTTCCATCGTGTTCTTCTGGTATGGTGAATGTCGGCGCCTACCATACTGTAGGACAAATGTCGGCACCCACAATACTGTTCATGTCCTGCCATGTCAGAAGGTTCCAAAGTACCCTTCTGATATGGCCTGACAGTACTGTCCTGCAGGTGTGCAGGGTATGGTCCTCGGTATTGCCGTTGACTTGTGCGCCTTACCTTATCTGGTCCGCCTGATTTCTCGGGTCCTTACCGAGCGGGCGTCCCCGTTCAGTCATTCCTAGTCGGCTTCGACCGTGCCGGTCAGAGAAGACCATAGGTAGAGGTTTGGTGTGTTCCCGGACGGAGACACGGGTTAGAGTCAGAAGCGAGCGTCGCCCCTCCCTGGTCAGGCCTTTCGGTCGGAGAAGCGGGTCGGAGTCGAAAGCGAGCGTCGCCCTCCCTAGCCAGGCCTTTCGGTCGGAGAAGTGTGTCAGAGTCAGAAGCGAGCACCATCCCTTCTTGGCCAGGCCTCCCAGTTAGAGAAGCGGGTCACAGTTGGAAGTGAGCACCGTCCCTTCTTGGCTAGGGCTAGTCGTTTAGGCAGTTGGGCCTGCCCAGGAGTTTGCGTGTTGTTCGCAACGTTGTCTGTTGGGCTGAGCCTTTGTTGGGAAGTGGGCCCATCAGGGACCCTAAGTTTATGAACCCGACAATATGACCCAACAAAGGTACTTTCTTCACTCAGAATTCACACTTGCTAAACTTTGCATACAATTTATGCCCTCTCAGCTTTGACAAGACAATCCTCAGATGCTTTGCATGATCTACCTCATTCTCAGAGTAGATTAGGATATCATCGATAAACACGACCATGAACTTATCGAGCTCGGGCATGAATACTGAATTCATCAAATACATGAAATAGGCAGGAGCACTTGTCAGTCCAAAAGACATGACCAAATACACATACAAGCCGTACCTAGTTGAGAAAGTTGTCTTAGGTACATCTTCTGGTCTGATCTTGATCTAGTGATAGCCTGATAGCAGGACTCAAGCTCTGTGCCCGCTCGTCATGTTCCCGCACCACAGAAATGCGGTCATGCTGCCTCCAAACTATCATAGTTGGATCCACCTGATGAATAGATCCCGCTGCAATATTGGTGAGTGAATCACCATGCTGCTGACAAAGTGTCCTCAAGATCTCAAAAGCTGCCACTTGAGTGCCTTCCCAAGGGGTTCTTCCCTCAGACTTTGCTTTCCAGCCCTGGTACTGTGGTGCCCGTGTACATGCTGGGATGGACACTTGCACCTCAAACCAAGGTTCCTCCTGCACATGCCTCTGTGTCCAAAAGTATTGGGCGGCTCTGTGTACCCCACAAAGTGCAACACTCTCCAGAGCAAGGCAGGTGTGCCAAAGATACCCAACAACGCCTCGTTTCCTTCGGGTGGGTAATAGGCTGCCATCTGTAGCTAAAATGGTGCAACTCTCGTGAGAACAATGTTATAATAGAAAAGAGTTACTTAACCAAATAAGAACTTATAAGGGAAGGAACAATGCAAGTATGTAATGAATGATTTATCATGATGCATGCATTTTTCATACGTCCTCACAAACTGAGGAAAAATTGAAACTTCTAGTGAAATACATGGTGGCATACATATGTTCTCTCATAAATAACGTAACTAGTCAGGCTACATGTTTTGCTGTTAGTATACCTGCATAAGAATTTTATTTTAGCCCAACCCCACAATTATATCTACAGAAATGAAAATCTGGGCTCTAGGTTGCAAGCTAAATTCTTCCATATATATATATACACTTATGTATCAAAGCTACCGAAAGTAAATACGTCCTATATATACATATAATTATGCATATATAGTCATATAAAAGCTAACCCACAATTAAATACCTTTGTATATATATGCGACATATATATACTTTAGTATCAAAGCTACCTCTCCCCTTAGACCGCACGCTGACATCTTGTGGTCATGCTACTCATCATCTTACATTGGGCGTAGAGGCATTTGATCCATATATTACTACTCAAGTGAAATGGCACCCATACAATAGCACACCGTATGGACGACAAAAATAAACCCCCCCATGTTAGTACTTATTTAGCCACCAGAAATCCTTAACTGGGCATAAAGAAAATGATCACTGGCACACTTTTGATTCAAATTATAGATTTGAACACCTATTTATATAACTATAAGTTGCCAAAAACTAGTTTTGGAAAACAAAAACCTTTGTTTTAAATACACATGTGGCAAATAATGTTAAATCTTGCTCCGATGCCAGCTGTGACAGAACCGACCAATTTATAAGAGCACAAGTATAATGGCAACCACCAAAACGATCGCACTGTCATACTTGAGCCCATATAAACCCAGTAGTCCGTTGAGTACCACAAAGGGCCTCGATTCATCGTCAACATACAACAAAGATCGTACATGATTCAACATACATGCCACATATTACATAGAGTTCACAATTACATTACCATCCATCGGAGTACAATTAAAAGTTATTACAACCCAAGTTCAAATAAAGTAGTAGTAGTAGCGGAAGCAAAGGTAGTTTTGAAACTAACATCTCACACCATTATTCAAATACTTGACAGTTTATGATCACATCCCACAAAAGCATCATAGATTAGATATATAGAAGCGCCTTGCACATGGCCTACTCCTCATCCATGGCGGGACAGAAGCAGTTCTTACAATACCCATGATAGACTGTATTATCTGCAATAAGTGGGGAAAATAAACCCTGAGTACAAGAAGGTACTCAGCTAGACTTACCCATCATAAACCAAAAATAATGTGAGTCCAAGGATCATGCAAGGCTTTATAAGTGGAGCTAGCTTGATAATATTTTGCATAAAAAGCCACTAGTTCAACTATACATTTTATAATTTAGGTATTAAGTTAATTATAGCTATTCACCTCTAGATTAACAACTAACCTGTGCCAAACATGTGATATATCATATGTAGCATCACAATAATAACCATAGCCGGTGTAGTATTCCCATGTCCAATATAACCATCAAATTCCATAGTCCAGTTACTACGATGCTGGGACTAGTCGAGTTTCTCACTATCCGAGAGAGATGGTGATTCGAATCAGTTACAACCAGCAGGGCAGTTATTCCTAACACAAACCCACACTTCCCTCGTCGGGGTCATGTCGGGTCACCTTTGGTACAACTTAGGTATACATTTTGTGGGTTCGATCAGCGCCACACAACCAGGGACAACTAGCTGCCAGGACATTCAGGCCTGGTCTGCCCTTGGGCTCACGTCTGGCTCCCCGCACATCCTTACTATCATCCAGAGTATGCACTCTAATAGAACGAGGCCCGACCTGAGTTG